CCCTGGGCGAAGTCGGGGATGAGTTTTCACCGGCATTCGGAGGAAATGGGCACAAGCGCCAAGCCTTGAAAAGCAAGACTTAGGGGCAGAAGGACGAGCCGCCTCGGGCCGGACTCGGCGTGCTCCGGGGGCTGCTCCGGGGACCTCGCCCCCTCGCTTTCCCTCGGGAGGCATCGCCGCCCGGGCACGGTCCAAGTGGCGGCTGGGAGGATTTGCAGCCGAATTTTGGGTTTTCCCTTCCCCTTATAGATATATACATTTTGGTGGGTTTTTTTTTTTTAATCCCCCTTCCTTTCAGTCCCCCCACCCCCACCCCTCGGAAAGTGAAATGCTGAATCCAATCGGACTTTATTCATTAATGATGCAACCGGATTCATTTCAGGATTATATTGCATGAGTTGAATTTTGAATGAAGGAGAAGCGTTAATTATTATACTTTTTTTTTGTACAGAAGAAGTGTTGACTTTGCCCCGTTGTACTTTTAATAATTATTATTTTATTTAAATATACGACCTGATTGTATTCTTGGAAAATGTATAAAGTATCTATTTTATGGTAAATTTCTTCGAAATGGATGTGAAACTGAAGACGCTGCAGTTAAAGTGAGGTTACTGGCGTGTTGGATGTTTCATTCAGCACCAGCATTGCAGTGACAGTTATTTCAATCAGTGGTTTGTTTTTAAAACCGCACCTTTTGACATTTCGATTCAAAGAGTAATCGGGGGAAAAAAAGTAAAAATCTAAAGGCAACCCAGCAGCAACGGAAGCCAACATGTCTGGAGAAGTGCGTTTGAGGCAGTTGGAGCAGTTTATTTTGGATGGGCCGGCGCAGACCCATGGGCAGTGCTTCAGTGTGGAGACCTTACTGGACATTCTCATCTGCCTTTATGATGAGTGCAGCAATTCTCCTTTAAGAAGAGAGAAGAACATTCTGGAATACCTAGAATGGGGTAAGTTTGGGTTTGTGGAAAAACTCTTTGAATTGCATCTTTACCAGGCTAGTGCGATTCAGTTGTTCTGTAGAGAGTTATCTTGTGCAATCTCTACTCCAATTAGTAAATTGATACGGTCATAACAACAGAATAGGCTCCAATGCCCAAGATTTTCGTTTAGTTTGGTAAATAAGTTCCAGAGTAAACCATGCTACTCAATTGTTGTTTTGATGTAAGGCCTAGCTAATATGGAACTTGGGCTTGGAGAGCTTACATTTTTTAGGTCAGCAGTCAGAGATTTTGAGTAAATTCTTGATAGGCAAAATGGACTATTGCATAAGTTACCTAATGCTTGACCATCTCATCACAGGTGTTTTGGTGCAAACATTTCCCAGACTTGAGAAATCACTCCGAAAATGGGAGCTGTTAAAAAACCCATGTTTAGCTTGATCAACAGGGACTTGAAGGTGATCACTGGGTTTTATTTCGTCCTTATATAGTTCAAGCAAAGGAAACTACACATGGGCTTACAAGCCAGGGTCCTGTTTGTAAGAGAGAAGGACACAAATAATTGTAAAATTTTGTGATTGAAGTTGGTGGAAAAGGTTTGGGAGCAGCACCAGCCTGAGAGAGTTTAATCTAATTTTCATTTCAGCCTAAACTAGTTACATTTTTTATCTTTATTTTTCTAAATAGAGGTGTTTCAGGAGACATGCTGTAGTGGGCTAGATCAATGATGTGACATGACCTTCAGGCTTGAAAGCTGGGCTTGGGTTCTTCTGCCTCTGATGTTACAACCCAGCCTTCTCTGGGGAAATGTACACAGCAGCCCCCAGTGAATTGGGACACTGGCTTTTGAAGGCTATTGGTCAAATAGGTACTTTGTACCTTTGGAACACTAATAATTTTAGTTTGGTAGAAAAGACTTGTACTAACATATCCTTGTTCCAGTAAACCTTTATTTTGCTAAAGTAAAATTTAGTTGGCAATTTTTTTGGATGGAAATTTATTAAAAATGAGTTTCTCAACCAAATCACAGATTCAGGAGTGTCTTCACTTTAAGTTCGGAATTCATGGGTTTGCCAGTGTCAGAAAATTTCTGGCAACTAGATGTCATCAAATTGCAAAATACACACCTATGAATAGGATGATTTTTTGAAAACAGATGATCAGACTCATACTGAGAATGTGAGAAATCTGAACTGCCCCTCAATGACTTCTCTCTTATGAGTGATACAATTTTGACTTCTGTAACAGTTTCTTGAGTATATATTTTTATGTTTATTAAGATATGGTGTTTTATAAAGTATATGTGGTTTTACACCTTATGTTTCAAATATTTAAATTCGATAATATTTCCTTTAGAAGATTTACAAGGGTTTGGTAGTTTAAGAGTTGGAATCTGAGTTCTTGAGTTTGGTTTCCATAGTGATAGTTGAGTCTAGGATTATAATTGACATTTAATATCCATTCTTTCTCACCTTGAAAATGATGGAAGAATTCTTTGGAGGTACCAGTAGTGAATGTAATGTTTAAGTTATGATGAAAGAGAAACCATTATCCTTCATTGATTTCTGCCTATTAGAGTTTACATATTAGATTTACACTATGCTTTGCTGTATTTTTAAACTATTTTGTATATTTTCCATTGGATATGTATTCCTAGGCTTTGGCTTACTTCTTTAGGATTTGTAAAAACCATACTTGTGTTTAAGCTCAATAAGCCCAAAGTCAAATAAGTATTTGTCCAAATACATTTTAAACAATTTCAAACCACGGACAGTATAATTAAAAGTAAATTAAGTTTCAGAAGTAGTACTTTGCCTTTTGAGCTTTTTAATAAATGATGCAGCAAAAATGTACAGTCTCTTAAGTAAACGACTGGCAATTTTCAATAATAGAGAACAGTAGATTAGCATTTTAAAGGAATTATTCTGTATTTTTGTGGGGGCTAGACAATGTCTTCTAAATCTCAGTCCCCTTCTAAGTTGTAGGTCTTGAAAGTAGGGGTTATCTATCAATCTACAGAAGCTTAGATAAGGAGTAAGGAAAGTTAAGAGTGGAAAAACTGTCAAGAGGTGTATCATGAGCAGTATAATTAACTATTTAAGTTGCAACTTAGTTATTTAAGAATAACATTCATTTAAGAATTGAAATAAGTTTGCTGCCTTTCTTGAATAAATTGTACTTCATTTTGGGAAAATGACTTATTTTTTCTCATCACCTAACATATGATTGAGGATACTTCCAATTTGTTGAATTGGCCTCAGTTTATTTTTTCAAGCATTCTTACTTAGTTTTTTGCTCTGAGATGGAACTATACAGGTACTGTTGTAGAGGTTGCCCAATGAGATCTAGTAGATTCTGACTCACAGTGACCCAAGTAGAACTACCCCACCTCTGGTTCCCAAGAGTGTAAGCCTTCCTGAAGCAGACGACCACATCAGTCTCCTTTAGAATGGCTGGTGTGTTCAAACCAAGTAATTGGGCAAGCAATGGGGCATCAGGGTTCCTGGTGGGTGTTAAGTTTGATAATTTAATTTTTACCTTAAATGATCTAATTTTGGGGTTGTTTAAAAAAACAACAACAAAAAAAGCAAATTTACTGTTCTCTGTATTATGATGTATATTTGTTCGATTATTTATATTAATGAAAATGGATATGCCTCATTTTTATGCTAATAATAGCCTACTTTAAAAAAGGGAGTCAGATTTCTAACACCCTCTATTGCTTTTCTATCAGTATCCTTTTGTTCCTAGTTGTGGTTCATTTCACAATTAATGTTTTGTTCATGACAGTATCACAACGAGAAGACTGGCAATTCAATGGAAGATGTTTTTCTTTGACAAGAAAGAAACGGTGCTGATGGCGCTATAGAGAGGAAATAGAGCAAATAAAGAGGAAGAGGGGATTAAACCAATAAGCACTCTAGCCAAGGAGATAGAAATGCCTTAAGGCCATAGATCACTTTTAAATTTAGTAGTTTTTAGTCATAGCCAATCAAAAATGAAAGACTGTTTTGCCACCTTTGTTTCTTGACCAAGAAATGACTATGGTTTGTGTACTTGTTTATAAAATAATGATTTTGATGCCTCTAGTACAATTCTAGAACAAAGTTAAAGTAAAAAAACTGTTGCTTTATAAACTAATTTGCTATTAATGACTAAATGAGTGTAATTATGGAATTGGCTAAACTGGTTCTTCAAAATGGTAACTTGGGATTTTAGAGAAATCTTTACATATTTACTACTTTAAAAAAATAGCAACAAGAATAAAATCGCTAAAGACCATGCAAAACTATCTGCATGTGGATAACTGTTTTTTGGTTTTGATGCTTCTACAATTTTTCTAGCTTTTCATTCAAATGATCATTAAATCAAAGGACTCTTAGAACTAATTCGGTTCACATATTCGAAATAGTTTGAATGATTAATGAATTTGTTACTTGAGCATATCAGCTGATCATCTGGTTTAATTACTTTTATTAGAGTAATTTTAAAGTTTGGTCACGTTTTTTCTTTCGCATATAGGTCAGCAAATAAGGCTTGTTTGGAAGGTATTTTTGGTAGAATACTTTGTTCTCTTCAGTTCTGCTAGTCCTCACTGCTGATTTTTCTTGTGAGTAAAATTCATTAATTTTACCAAAGTATAAAAAATGTTCATTTAATAGAAACTACTTATAAATAAAAAAAATTCTCTTAGGATTGGCATTTTTGTCAGCAGAAACATGGGTTGGGCACTTGCTTCCTTTCTGCTGACCTCCTAATATTCTAGTGTACTGTAAAAATGATGGAGATAATGAATAACAAAAATGAAACCGAACTAAACTTGGATTCCAACTCAGTGACCCTATATTTGGTTTTCGAGGCAGTCAGTCGTATTTATGGGAGCTTATAGCTTCAACTTTCTCCCACTTCGAGCACCAACAGGGTTCTTATGAACACTCACGCACTGCCTCAGTCAGTGCTGACTCATAATGACCCCTGTGGGCTTCCAAGACACTAGCTGTTAATGGGAGTTGAAAGCCCAGTGTGTCTCTGGAGGAACTGCTGTGGTTTTGAACTGCCATATAATTAATTTGAGTTAATATAATACTGGCTATGTATTTGAAGCATGGCTAAGAAGTGGTAGCTATTATTCTATTTTTCCCTTAAAAAAAAGGCTGCGTGGTGGCACAGCAGTTAAAGCACTTCACTGCCAATGAAAGGTTGACTGTTTGAATTCACCCGCTGCTCCGTTGGAGAAAGATGTGACATTCTGCTTCTGTAGAGACTCACTGCCTTGGGAACCCTATGGGGCAGTTCTACTCTGTGACGTGGAAGCAAATCCAGAGCAGTGGGTTTGGGGCTTTTCATTTTTTAAAAATCACACTTATTGATTGTGAGAGAATGGTTAGAGACCACATTCGACTCTGGTTACACGAGGGAGGAGAATCCATCTGCACACAAGACCTAGGCCGTTTGCCACAGGGAGAGGTCAGACATTCCTCCCCCTCAATCTTTCTATACCTATTGTGACACCAACTGTTCCTCCCATGACACTCTTTTCCTGGGTTCAGTAATCTGTTGCAATGGCCACACAACTCACCAATAAAGCTCACTATTAGGGAGGTGTATTAGGGAAGTTAACAAGTTAGCACAAGTCAGGAGCAGATAACATTAGAATACAGTCTTTTGTCCACAGCAGTGCCTCTTCTCAGCCAACAGCTAGCGCGCGCTCGCGCTCTCTCTCTCTCTCTCTGTCCTGGGAATTCTCCCTCTCCCTTCTTTTGAGATGGCTCTATGCACAGGATATTGGTAACCCAAAGGAGCCAATCCCCACTGTTAGTGTTACACATGTCCTGTTTGCATTGCTGTACCCAGCATTTAGTGGGACTTACAGAGACATCGGTAGAAGAGCCATATGAAGAAATTTCACTTTACCAAAGCTCGTTGCCAGATGATATTGATTATTGTAACGACTAGATATTTGTGAGTAATTGTTTTTAGGATGCTTTAAAAAACATGTAACTGTCAGT